GAGAGAGTGAAAGTGAGAAATCCCCCCCACCCCCGGAGAGTTGACCATGTTGCAATCCCTTCTCTCCCAGTATCTTCTTGGAAGTTTGGGGACTAGTATGCATGCTGGGCATGATTTTCACGCCAATGGGTCTGATACCTAAGCTGCAGTCTGCCATGTGGGAATCCAGATCCTTAACCACCATGCCACCTGCTGGCCCCAAATAAACCTTTTCTATCTGCTTACACTCCGAGTCTGTGAATTCTTTCATGAATTCACATAAGCTACAATACATGCATGAACTTATGTGAAAATATATTTACCTAGGAGAATTACACATTTCCCTTTAGAAGTTTAATTAATAAAAAAAAAATTCAAGGATTAGAGCTAATGATTTGCAAAGAAGGGGAGACAAAATATAAAGATCCCAAAACAAAGCTACCCAGAGCAACCGTCTGCATAAAGGAGAGCTGAGGGCATATTGTAAATAAAGGTTTACACTTAGGTTCAGTTAACTTGCACTGTAGATGCTCACTGTGTTTCCCAAACTGTGTTACTGGAGAATTCTGATTCCTTGTTAAACTCTTTTTGGGGTGAAGGTTCTGTTGTTAAGTCGATCTGGCAAAAGCTGAATGCTCTGGGTCTTTCTTAGAGATTCACACATTTCATTTATGTAATTGTTCAGCAATTTTTTAAAGTTTATTTTTCCTTGAGTGAGAGAGACGAGAGAGAGAGAGAGAACCCCCCACAGGGTCTTGCTGCTGCCATCCACCTCCATCCTCACAGCCCTGGATCATGGGTCACATACATGTCTGGAGTGTTCATGTTCCCTGGACATGAACCCAGAATCTTCCCATGCCATCAGCCTCGCAGAAAGTCATGTTTTAATATTATGCTACTGTCCAGCCCTTCAACAAATATTTTGGGCTCTTTCCATGTGCCAGACTTTATTCTGGGCTCTTATAATAATAATAATAAGCAAAAAACAAACCCAATTGCTATTTTCATGAAGCTTATACTCTAATAAGAATATAGACATTAATCAAATAGTAAAAACAAATAGCATATACTTGTGAACCAGTAAGTTCTACAAAAGAAAGGAAGATATTGATAGAAAACCTAAGCCAGGGGCCAGGGAAAGTTTCTCTGAGGAAGGGAGCATTAGTTAGGTCAAAGGCCAGATATTGAGGCTTTCAGATGTTCAATAGAGATAGAATGTGAGCCACTATGTAATCAAAATTTCCCCAGGAGCCACATTACAAAAAGTACAAACAGGGGCTGAGAGGCGGCGTGGTGGTTAAGGTGTTGGACTACCACATGGCTGACTGTCGTTTGGGTCCCAGATCTGGCCATTTGCTTTCTCACTCTCCCCTCACCCCACCGTCTCTGTCTCTCTCTGGTCAAATTTAAAAATAATAATAGATAAAATTAAGTAACTAATTCTTTTTAAAAAAGTAAAAACAAACAAGGGAAAATGATTTTTTAAAGAATTATTTTGTTTAACTTTATTTATTTATTTATTTATTTATTTATATGCCACCTGGTGGCCCCACAGTAGAAATTAATTATTATTATTTTTTTTGGAGAGGTTTTTGCTATAGGGCGCTTGCACTCACCAGAAAGACAGAGAGAGACAGAGAGATATAAAGCGAGAAATCACCCCCCCCCGGGGGATGGCCACGCAGCAATCCCTTATCCTCCATTTTCCTCTCAGGATCTTGGGCATGCACACGCATGTGCTCAGTGTGAGTTTAAGCCACTGGGTCCGGGACTCGAACTGCAACTGTCTATGTGGGAATCCAGCAATATAACCATTAAGCCATCTGCTGGTCCCAAGCATGTGGTGATTAAATAATCTTTTTTTTTTTTTTTTAAGTTTGTTTCTGTCTTCGTAAGTAGGATAAAAGGGGAAGAAACAGCATTGCTATCCCCTCTAGGGAGAGATTTCCCTCTTTCTCCTTTTCTCTCTCTCTTTCTCCAGTGAGTATACATTATAGCAAGAGGGGAAAAAAAGGAAGAAAGAAAAAGAAAATAAACTTTTATCATAAGAAGAGGATTTAGTCTTTTTAACATAGTAAGAGCCTTTAGAGCTGAGATGCAAAAAAACTAAAGGGGGGGTGGGCAGAGTCCTTTCCTAAGGTAGTCTGAGACCTTGCAGCTTTGACGGGAACACAACAGAATTTCCCCTGAGACTCCTGAGCTGGGAATTCGTCCCTGGGTGTGGTGATGGGTGGGAGGTGGGGGTGGTTTCAGATCACCTCATGGTTCTGGAAAGTACAAAGCATAACAGCTGATGTTTACATTCTAATGCTATGATTATGTTTTCATTATGTCCTTTGAAAATTTCACATGACATTTCCATATGGAGACACAGGAGGGCACTCTAATCACCTGGCAATACAACTTAGATGGTTTCATAGCCTTGGCAGTAAAACATGGATTTTTAAAAAAGATTTGTTGAACCTGCTTTCTGTTTTTGTTTTTCCAGGCAGGATAACCAGTTTTGCAGGAATACCTAGCTATCCTAGGGATACCATCCATGACATAGGTCCCCAACAAACACCTGCCACAAGGTCCTGCTGACATTCTAGGGCCCATGGCAGTGAGCAACTCAGAGCAGGGAAGGAAATTTTTTAAACGTTTGCAGATTTATTTGTTCCATAAACATGAGGTGGGGGAGAGAGAGAGAACCTCGAGCAGGGTCCTGCTGCTGCCACCCACCCCCACCCTCAGGTGGCCCCTATGGTGGTTGTTCACGTGCCAGACGTACTCAGGGAGGGCTCCAGACTCCAGCCCTGAACCTTCTCATGAGGGCCACCCCTCCAGATGGTGGCTTTTACTGCTGTGACACCACCAGGCCTTGGAAGGGGATTTTTGATCACAGATTACGTCTTGCCTCAGTCACTCAAGAGTTGTCAGCAAGGTTGCCAAGGGCTCCAATTTAGGGGTTACTTGGGCAGAGGAGAGACACCTGGCTGTGATGAGACTCCCCCCAGATGTGCAGCCTGTCCCCATGGTTCAGCTTCCCCACCTTTAAAGTGGAAATAATGCTGACCTGTCTGGAAAGTTCGCCAGTGGAGAAGGACAAGGGAGGGGGGCCCAAGCGATATACTTGGGGTGACATTTCCCATCCCATACAGAGCACTGAGTTTTATACTCAAAAGAGTAAAGCTAGAATCAGCAGATGGTATAATGGTTACATCTCTGGACTCCCACGAAGTCCACTGCAGTTCGTGTCCTGGACACACCTCGACTTAAAACTCACACGGGGGACCAGCGGTTGGCGTAATGGCTATGTCGCTGGACCCTCATGTAGTCGACCACGGTACAAGTCCCGGACCCGGTTACTTAAACTCACGTTTGACGAGTGTGCGTGCGTGCCCAAGATCCTGAGAGGAGAATGGAGGAGAAGGGATTGCAGCATGGCCATCCCCCGTGGGGGTGATTTCTCGCTTTCTGTCTCTCTCTGTCTTTCTGGTGAGCGCATACGCCCTATAGCAAAAACCTCTCAAAAACAAACAAACAAACAAACAAATATTTCACGTGGCCGCGTGTATATGGCCAGGGTGATCCCTAGAGGAGAATGGAAGAGAAGGGATTGCAGTGTGACCATCTCTCCTGGGGATGATTTCTCCCTTTCTGTCTGTCTCTCCCGTGAGCGTACACACCATATAGCAAAAAACCACTCAAAATTAAAAAAAAAAAAAAAGGTAAAATCAGCCTTACTTTCTTTAATGAATAATGGCACGCGGGAGGGACAAAGCGCGCCCCGCCGGCTGCCGGAGGAGTAACCCGAGAGGGTGGCACAGGACCGGCT